TCATGCCACGTGTAGTCACGTCTCTTTAGGTGTGGCAGCGAGGGGTTGGGTGCTGGTAAGGAAGTGTCTACGTGATTGCAGATGTGTGTGTATTGTGGGATGGCTGTACAGTGGGTATCTCATCTCCCCAGTTTGTCTCTGTCATTCTATCCTGCTGGCCACTGCTCTTCTGATGTCAGGTGGAGTGAAGCCAGCTAGCAGGTAGGCTGATAGGCTTCAGACATCCTGTGATGCATTGGCAGCTATCATTCAGGAAGAGGTCAAGGCATTTAGCATGTGCAGATCTCTCCCATACAGGAAGAACAGAAGCTGAGAGCCAGAGCAGTGGGCTACAGCAGAAGTGTTCATGCCACGACCTCCATCAATAATACCTGGTAATACCTGCACATTCTTTTAACACTCCAAACCATGATTTTTCAACTTGCTGACACACTGGCAAGTAGTAGCAGTGTAATTTGGATCTGATCCCAAAATTGCATCACCGTGGCAAGTGGTGAGATTCTTCCCAACAGAGATAAGATCCCATCATGCTGTTAAATGAACACGTACCAGAGGCCTTAGATTGGGACAATTGATAGGATCTTGTCAAAAAGTGGCATAACGGCAATCTTACAAAGTGAAGTTAGCTAAATTGAATTTAAGTCATGTTCATTCAGAATAAGGTTGTGCGTTATTCTGTTTAAATTTAGTCTCTTTAAAAGTTAATTCAGACAAAGTATCCTGATTATCCTCATGTAAACCAGACTTTAGCCAACATTAGTTAACTTTCTTGTAAGCATGATATGCATTTCCAGAAGAGGGTCTTGAGGACAGATTTGAAAGAAGAGATACTAGACAGAAGTTAATCCAGGAGCCTCTATATCTGGAAAGATGGGATCTGATTCCTGATGGCAAGATGTATGGAAGAAAGTTTAGCTGTGCATGAATAACTGATTTTTTTTCAGAAAAAATAAACTATTTTGAGTTGATTTGAAAAATTTTTTTTGATGTTTTGATTAGCCAAAGAGTCAGAACAAAGCAAAACAAAAAATCTGGTTAAGGCTGAGCAAATGTTTCATTTTGATTGGACAAAGCTCGCCCATATTGCAAAATTCACTTAAAAGAAAACTCTAACAATGCTTTTTTCTAATTAGAAGCACGAAATGTTTCATTTAAAAAACATTGAAATAAAATGTGCTTACTTTTTCAAATTATTTTGCTCCTTTCTCCCTGCCCGAAATAATTCATCAAAATTGACATGAACGTACAAACTATTCCAGCATATCTGCATTTTAGCTGAAAACAGCTCTGGTCAGCTCTAGTTTGTGAAAAGAGGTCTACAAAAAGCCATGGAAAGCTGGCAGCACTGACTAAATGTCAAGTGAGCCTGTCATCTGTTTCACTGGACATTTTAACAAAGGTAGAAAAGTAACCACTTTGGAGTTAAATTCAGATTATTTTTAATTAATACTCAGCTTCACAATAACAGGAGGTATGAAAGGAAATGGGTAAGTTGTTACAAGGTTGATGTACTTTGAACAGAAATAAAGGCAGGAACCAAACGTGTCAACATGTACAGCTCTGAAGAACAATCATGACAGAGAGCAATCATTGCTATTTTGAGTAATTTTGATTTCCATTAATGGCAACATTCAAATTCTATTTTATCCATTATGAAACCAGCTGAACGTACTATACTGTGTCCTATATTGTCCTGCTAGAAAGTAACTTTTGTCTGTTCAATATTAGCTGGGAATTGGTACATAACCCCTTACTCAAATCACATATATTTTATAAAGAAAATAATGACATGAATAAAACCATTGCAGAAATTTCAGAAATGAGTAAAATACCATCGATGTCAGAGCTGCTATAATGTCCATGAATACACACAGAAATTTACTTTAACGTTACCTTGAAAGACACAAGGCAATCAAACTCTTCCATATGGCTCAGCCTTCAGAATTCCTTCATATTGGAAAAATAATATCCTGTCGCCAGCAAAATAAACCAACGAAGACTGTTCCTATACGAACGCACGTGAATATGTAGCATTTGAGTCTGATGTACTCAGGCTTTTGTGTGCTCAGTAACAAATCCCTATCCCCAGGAACAGAAGATCCTGCTATTCTGTTGAATCCTTTGATGTATCATGCAATGTAATTAACTTCTGTGAGGTGTCTGCCTCGTTCCTTTTGTTCTTATGAAGAGACCTCTAAAAATAATATATTGCCTATACCTATGTTTATAAAGGCAACATATGGTAAAAGCACTAGAATGGATATTGATGAGGAAGTAAAAGCATGAGGCATGTTTCACTAGAAAGCAGCATTTTGTATTTATGAGGCCTCTCTTACAGTAAAAAGCAGCACTCTTGCTGAAATGTGTCAAGCCACTCTCCTAAGTAAAAAGACATCCTTATCTTCTTTTTTGTCCATCCTCCTCAGAAAAAAGCGTTATCCTAAGGCAGCTGTATTAAAAAGGGAATCAGTGCAAATAGAAGTAGAACTGCTATTGTTTGGATAATATTAATGAGTTGCACATCTTACATCAGGTGTTAGGGTGGGATTATGCCACTTAGTTGCATAATAATTTGTGAAGTAGCAAGTGAAAGAGAGTACCAATGGTTTGACAAACGGTCTGTGCCCTGGGCAAACCCTGCTGTAGGGAGGGAGGAGGGGAAGGAAGATGCTTCCAAGAGCAGGGGTAGGGAGGGTGCGGGTTTGGAGAGGGAGGACATGCTTCCAAGAACCAAGGAGGTTGCGTGACAGGGGTCAGGAGTGCGACTCAAAACAGATGCTGGCCCTTGCTGCTGCAACATGGTCTGTCCTCCCCACCTCTTGTTCTTAAAGCACTGGCAACATGGTGTCTATGTACTGGCTACTGCTGCAAGAGCAATGCTGTGGGACTGGTCCTGCTGCACTGGTGCAGACTCTGTGGAGACAGGCAAGAATTTTGGTGCTCCTCTTAAGTTGGGTGAGAAGAGCAGGGGTCCCTGCTTTCTCACCCATCCCTAGTTATGTTACTGAAGACAGCTTGTTACACAGCCTAAGGAACAGTAGGGCAGCTCTTCAGCTGATGTAAATGCTCATAGTTGTACTGAATCCAACTGAGCGACGCTAAATCAGCATTTCCAATATCACACGATTTATTTAATATCTTGAGATTACCAGTTTAAATAAAAATTAAATAACTTCACACAACATTATACTGGTCACTTAAACTGAACTTTCTTTGTTAAACTAAAATTTGAATCCAGCCACTACAGTAACTGTGTACCAATAGCTTAAATTTCTGCTACTACCTCTCAAAATAAGGCATATTCCATACCTCAGAAATTTCTCATGGAAAAAGTTTAATGCATATTTAACATAAAGATTTATGAAGAAACCTGTCTTTAGCCCCTGCAATACTTCATGCTTGCAAAATGCTTGAAAGCCAGAGTTAAAACTTAATAGTTTTTTGGTGGGGAGGAGAAGGGGGAAGAGAGAGAGAGAGATTATGTGTGCGCATGTGCAAAGGTTTCAAATTAATATAGTACGTAGAAAACCAGGGCAAAAACAAAGCAGAAAACAAGATTAATGTAATGACTAAAATAACAATCAGGAAGTTTATCCTGGAGATCATATATTATACTTTAGTAAAAACAGAAATTCAGGATTTTCTATACAAAATACCAGCAAGTATGTAGGAGCCCTCAGTAATTCCCCTCAGGCCTACCTGTATCCCCTGCTTTGAATTAAAGAGAGAGAAAAATACATTGGTTTAAATTTTACAACAATTTTGCCCTGGAGCAAACTATGCATTTTCCCCAACACAAATCAGCTGCATTTAATTCCCTAGACAGCTGGCATGAACACAGCCTCTCCACAGGACACCTGAATTACAAAATTAGCACATTCAAAACTCTAAATCACATTCCATTACATTAAGCCCTCAGGTCCAACATTACTAAGAACAAGAATAAATTGCAGAACTTCTCCTGAATTAACCCTCTTAGCACACTCTCAAAGTTAAATTGCCCTTTCCTCCCCTTTATAGATACAGGAAACTTAAACATTTCCCTCTGCCCTTTCTAATCTATTCCTATTCTAGCCAAGTGGCACAGTTTATGGGACATAAATCGACAATTCTTTTCATAAACTCACACTGGTAGATAAGCCTATCGTGCTGTTTGACTCACTTTGAAAATTAATAGGTTAATATGTTTATTTCTGTCCCTCAGAACAATGTTGACCAGCCACTTCTCTCTGCAGTAGGGTTTTACTTGAGTCTGAAACACTTTGCAGAAACTCACATTTACTGATTACTTTTTTTGGATGTAAGTTGCTTCCAACAAATACATTATTCTTGTTAAAATGATGCGAGCTTGAGAGACAGCTGTGCCTACAGCCACATGCCAGTGACCTGTTCTGATTATTGCCCGCTTGCCTGGTCCTAGTTATTGTACTAGTATTACTAAATGTTATTAATTTTTTTCCTGGTAGCACTCACATTGTGTTAGGTGTTACAAATATACAGAACTGGTCTGTGCAGATTCAACATATGCTTACAAAATATAGTGAAAAAATAATGTATTAATAGATTCTGTATGGTACCGTGCAATTTGGTGCTTTCATATCAGGGTTTCACAATAAGGTACAAACATTATGTTCCTGCCCCAGCACAGAGTTAAAGAAACTGATTAAATTTATACATCATCATCCCGTTGACTTCAAGGAGACAGTGTTCACCATATGCACAAATTAGAATGATTTGAGCGTTCCTGGAGATAAATGTATAATCAAGCTTTATGTGTCTTCTTATACATTGACAGGGAAACTGAGGCACAGAGAAATCTCATAATATATGTGCTCACTACTCACAAAACCCCAGTTCTAATGCATCTTCGGTAAAAGAAAACTGAGGGGAGCACTTGAAATAACCAATATTTGTTTACTTGATGTATTTTATATAGGATACACCACTTTTGAATTTTCTACATAACATTCAGGATAGGTGTATGGAGAAGTAATACATACCAGGAAGAAGGCAGCCTCAGTACAGAGGGACCATTGTATTTCTGACTCTCCAGTGAAAAGTGGCAGATCCAGCGGGTCCCTTTTCTGAGGAGGCTGACTAAGGTGGAAGTAAATGAGATATCTTAAAACACACTCAGTACAGGGGAAGAATACTTTTTGCCGAATTTGCAGAATGCCAGTCACAACAGCAGGTCAAAAATACTATTTAATTATCAATGCCAGAGGGGAGCTTGTACTTCAGATTTCCATTTGAATCCTTTAACTAAAGCATTCCAGGTTTTGTCAAATGTTTCAGTGAGGAGATGAAAAAAGGGAGGGAGCATCTCAAACCTCAGTGGCAGGCCAACAATTGCAAAACAGAGAAAAATTGGTCCCAAATAAACGTTTCAGAGGCCTTATTCTTGCACTGAGGCTGCCATGTCTGGAGAGGGATGACTCCATCACTGGTACTATTGAAGGAAAGTAATTGTCTTGTAAGTGATACAGGACTGAAACCAGGTTAAGATTTAGACTATGTATCCCATACTCAAATATTCAAGAAATAGGGTCAATGATGAAAATGAATTTAGTTTAAAAATATACACTGCTGAGTATTTCAAGGAAGGGATTCAAAGGGTTTAATAGAAAATAATTACAAGCAAAGAGAACAATTTGCAATAAGTGGAACAAATAGAAAATAATGAAAGCAAACTGAATTCAATCTAATCTAGTGAAACTAAAGTCTTAGCTGAGCACATGATAATGGAAATAATTAAAATTACTGATTGTATTGAGGGTAACAAAATAGCAATGAAGAATACTGAGTTGAAGGGCGGGAGACACAGATGTTTTTGAAAATATTGTGTGTATTAGCCTTATTGATGATACAAAAGTGACAGAATATTTGAATATAAATAAAACATCTATCGTAAGCAACGTTTCAATTTTTGATTCCTCTATCTGGATGTTCTCCTATTCAGTTTAGTGAGAAAATTTATCCTTAGGCACGCTTCTTGCCTTTTCTGTCACACTGCATCAATTAAAGCACACATTGTACAATTACACTGCCCTGTGACATTGTTTTCTATGCTGTTGTATTATTATCCATAAACAAAATCCTGTAAAATACATGTTAGAGCAATAACAATTTTTAACACATTTAACCATGAAATTCTACCCAGGGTGATTTCTAAGGGCCTATATTAGTCACTGCTAAGGACAATGTTAGATTACAGCATGCCAGCATTTTTTTTCCTAGACTCCATATAGATTCAATCACTGCATCTTCAAAGTCCATGGTGCGTGTCAGCCCATGCTCAAGAAGCCAGCAGTGACAGAGAATTGAGATGCATTGCCTTTTTGCATTCTTTATCAGCTTTGCCTTGGAGAAAGAATATTCCTCACTGAAGTCCAGTAGCCATGAAAACACTACTGAGTATTCACTAACCATCTAACTAACATTATTTATGAAGAAAAAATTCAAGGAGTGTCTACATCAAGGCAGTGTGGTCTGGTGGTGGTGGGCGGGGGGGGAAGCTGTGGGGGAAGTTCAGAAAGCTGGATTGTATATTTGATTCTGCCACTGACTATTCTGCTCCTATCTCCTCTCTGTTAGGTGGCGTGACTTTAAGATGAATATAGGAAGCAATTATTCTGAAGATAAATTTTGTGGCAGATCATTATTATCAACTGTGTCTGCACAAGACTAGGATGCGGACACCACAAGTGAGTCATTTGGCCAAGTAAGGACCATTTTACACCACCACTGTAACATGAAAACAGTCATTTGTTGATGCTGCAACCATGTATTATTTTTCAGTTAAGAGAGGTAAATGCTTTCCTTTATGTTGAAAAATATAATTTTACAACATATTAGTAAAAAATGTTTCTCTGGGGAGAATGACGGGTGCATGTTCACCCACCATAGTTTAAACCATGGTTTTCTGGAGACAGCAATTGCAGGTATTTTCTTTCTGCTTTAGGTGTGAGGTGTTCATCACTCTTAGAAACTAGAAAGCTTCAGGGATTTCTGCAAGACAATAGTAAAAAAGTGATATTCTCTCCTTTTCCACCCTCCCTCCTCAAAAAAGCTTGTGGGGGTTGGGAATTTGGTTGCCTTTTAACCAATAGCCTGATAACACTTACAGACCCCAATTTGATTGAAGTCTTAAGGCCAAATCTAGGCTATATCTAGTGAGACCAGTTCAGAAAATTGCATCTTTGAGGGGAAAAAAACCCATTTTTTTCCACTTGAAAACTTCTCTAACACCAAATGTTTTTCATTTGACCCTGAAGTCATGGACCACTATTTTAACAATAAGAAAGCAGGCAGCACTTTCGCATGCCTTTGTTGGAAAAAACAGAACTTTTTAAGAGCTTAATCAAATAATGAAGTTGCTATCAGTTCTAGATACCAAGTGCACTTTTTGAGATGTTTGAAAATTGGATGAAGAGGATAACTAGGTGGTTCTTATGGGTGATATAAAAAATTATGTGTATTAGCCCTCTTGATTCTTTCACAAAACATTTTCAATTGTATTTGCATATCCTTTGGTAGATGCTTTCCAAGCTGCCAGGAGATCCTGAGGTCTCTCTTGACAGACCTTCCAAAAGAGTCTATTGCGATCATTTCCTAGATGCAGGATAGAGAGTTACATTTTCATCTTTGCCAGACCAAAAAGGGTAAAAACACAGAGCCAAAAGAACAAGATGACACATCTCACAAATTTCACTATTGCTAACACCAACAATTGGAGACAACTGAAGTTGTCATATGCAGTAGGAACTATGGGGCTTAAAGCCTGAATGTGTCAACTGCCACAGGCTGTGATAAGTACTGACAAAGCCAGCTGACAACAAGGCTTGTGTGTTAGTTTCAAGTACAGCTGCAAAACCAATATTAGAGTATTTTACTCTGAGAGGAATGAATAAGAATGCCATACTGCTGAGAAGATGATTACAAAACCAGGATTTATGCCAACAACTACAGTTAGAAAGAAACTGGTCATTGAATAAATGGCTATGCTGGACTGATCATGTGAATTCTGCTTCGGAGGCAGAAGTGGGACCTCTTTCCCAAACTCACTGGTTTGGAACTTTTGAGCTTGGGAAGTTTCTGGCTTGGTCACATGGGCCATGTCCAGACAAGCACAGCTGTACAGTATGTGGGTCTGCAAACATGTTTGCAGCACCACATACCGCACAGTCAAGTGTTCTCTGCACTGCACAGGCACACTCCCCATGTGTGCACTCTTCCGGACATCCTGGGGTCAAAAACATCCACGGAAAAAACCTCCAGAGCAGTGCACACATGTGCAGCTCACACCACTGAAAAGTGGAGCTGGACTGCGGCTGCCTTCCAGGTTCCACCCAGCATGATCTCCGCTGCTGCAGCCCCAGGAGGCCCCCAGGACTCCAGGTAAGGCTGCTGGGGCCAGCCCAGTGCTGGCCCCAGTCTCCCCTGCCACCCCCGGGGTAACTTGCTGTGTGCCAAAGTGTGCGTGGCATGGGTGTTCTCCAGGGACAAGTAGCTGTTGCAAAAGGTGCATCGCTGTTACTTGTCCTTGGGGAACGAAATGTCCATGCTCATCTAAATGCTGCCATGGAGTGAAGATTTGGAAAGAGAAGTATGTGTTTCCAACGTGTTTTTGCAAAGTCTTCTGAGATCTTCCAACAAGAGAATTATAGTTCTGGAAAGTCTTTATTAATTTGAATATGCCTCAAAAAAGTATCAGATTCTGGCCCCAGCTATTTCCTGCATGCTGTGGCAGCACTGCCAAGAGAATGGAGAATTATTCTAACAGGACAGCTAGAGTCTCTTGATTTCCTACATTCTCCATTCCTCCACCAAGGCTTAGGATGTTCCAGGGTGGACCAAGAAAACTGTAACAGGGGGCCTGCTTGGGGCTGGTCCAACTGTGGCCCGCCCCGCTGTTCTTGGGCTAACCGCCTGCCTTCTCGCCCACCACGCCTTGATCTTAATTGATTAATAAAGATGTAAATTGAGCGGGAGGCTGCCCATTTTCTGCCCAGGGGCACTTTCTGCGGCTCCATTCCTCCCCTACACTGCATCCCAAGCCTCGCAGATGACATCACAATGTTCTCATACACACCAGCCCCACACGATGGGTCCCAGAATCCTACTGTAGGACCCCACCTGGGTTCCTCCCTTCAGGCAGACTCTGCTGCCGTCATACCGAGTCACATATCTCCCTGCTACTGGTTCCCCTTCAGGTGTGGTCCTCTCACTGGGACCTTCGGCTCCTCTAGCCCCGGCCAAACCCCAGGCCCCTGGCTCTTGGGTGTCCCTCTCGGTGGGCCCCCTAGCCCTTCTGACCCTCCTGGTCCTGGCCCCTGCCTGGGCCAGTCAGGGGAAACTGACAGGTCTCGATGTATAACCCTTACTCATTCCCCAGGTTCCCCGCTCTGGTTCCTCCTTCATGGACATGGGGGCCTAGGGTGCCTCACATCATGACTGGTGCCTCAGGGTCTCACAAGGGACTCTCCCTCCCTCCCTGGGCAGCAGGTCGTGGTGCTACTATAGATGTTATTTTTGACCCATGCTCTGCCTCCCAACAGAGGAGGATTTACTGGGGTTAGGACTCACCTTTTGCTGTCTGGCTGAGCCCCCGTTCTCCCCTCACTGGGCTCCAGCTCACACTGCCTCCTCACACTGGGGCTTCTCACGCTGCCCCCTCACACTGGGGTATCTCATCATGGTTCCCTCACACTGGCTTCTCGCTGCTGCCCCCTCATACTGGGGCTGCTCGCTGCTGCCCCCTCACACTGGGGCTGCTCATAATGCCCCCTCTACTCGGGGTCTCGGGGCTTCCCTCCTCAGGTAGGCTCAGGTGGCCGTAGCCATGCCTGGGCCCCTCTACCTCCTTGGGGTCTCACCCCGCAGGGCTCAGGAAGCCTCAGCCATACCTGGTCTCCAACTATCCCTCTCGGGGTCTCAAACCCCCTGCAGGGCTCAGGTGACCCTGGCTCCCCACTCTCCACCTTGATGCTTGCACTCCCACAACTACCTCTGATGGAACACGACCCACCCAAAGGTGAGGGCTAGGGGTTAAGGCACCCCAACCTGCCTTCCACTGGGGTGGTAACTGGCCTGA